CTGTACACAAAACTCAATTTTGATAAACACAAAACTCAATTCTGTCAATCCGGTTCCCACAAAACTCAATTTTGTGAACACAAACTCAATTCTGTCAATGCTGTTCCACAAAACTCAATTCTGTCGAACCGGTTCCACAAAACTCAATTTTGTAAACACAAACTCAATTCTGTCGAACCGGTTCACAAAACTCAATTTGTAAACACAAACTCAATTCTGCGAACCCGGTTCACAAAACTCGATTTTGTTGCCCAAATATGGCACACGCATGTAAGAAGGGCTACCATTGGTCAGAAGAAACCAATGGTTAGCCCTTCTTTACAGTGCGTGTGCCATATTTGCGGCAACAAATCGAAGTTTTGTGGAACCGCGTTCGACAGAATTGAGTTTTGTGTTTACAAATTGAGTTTTGTGGTACAGGATTGACAGAATTGAGTTTTGTTTCACAAAATTAGTTTGTGGACTATGCGGCGCCATGCAGGACAGGGCCTCAATTCTGTCGAACCGGTTCCACAAAACTCGATTTTGTTGCCCAAAGATGGCACACGCATGTAAGAAGGGCCTACAATTGGTCAGAAGAAAACAATGTAGCCCTTCTTGTACATGCGTGTGCATATTTGGGCAACAAAATCGAGTTTTGTGGAAACCGGTTTGAAGAATGAGTTTTGTGTTTACAAAATTGAGTTTTGTGGAACCGCGTTCGACAGAATTGAGTTTGTGTGTTTACAAAATTTAGTTTTGTGGAACCGGTTCCACAGAATGAGTTTTGTGTTTAAAAATTGAGTTTTTGTGGAACCGGTTCGAGCAGAATTGAGTTTTGTGTTTAACAAAATTGAGTTTTGTGGGAACCGGTTTTGACAGAATTGAGTTTCTGTGTTCACAAAATTGAGTTTTGTGGGACAGGATTGACAGAATTGAGTTTGTGTTCACCAAAACTCATTTTTGTCAAGTTTCTAGGTACAAAAATGCCTGTCCTGCATGGCGCCCCGTAGTATATACGTGTCAAATTCGCCAATTTTATACTTACACATAATAGGGCCAGCAGGGCCCAACCGACTATTGTTGAGGACTCTATCTGCCAAGAATTGATTACGATGTACTACACGTTTAACTACTACGTTGTTATTATTATTGAAGTTCCCCCTTAATAAACCTGCAGGATATTTATGAGGCAATTATTTTCATTACTGTATTTTAATGGGTCAGTGAAGTTAGCTCCCAGTTCCCAGTTCCCAGTTCCTTATTCGAATAAGGAACTAGTAACTAGGCAAAGCAGTTACCAGTTCCCAGTTTCCAGTTCCTTATTCGAATAAGGAACTAGTAACTAGGCAAAGCAGTTACCAGTTCCCAGTTCCCAGTTCCTTATTCGAATAAGGAACTAGTAACTAGGCAAAGCAGTTCCCAGTTCCCAGTTCCTTATTCGAATAAGGAACTAGTAGCTAGGTAAAGCAGTTACCAGTTCCCAGTTCGAAATGCAACATTGAATTGGGAACTGGTAACTAGGCAAAATAGTTACTAGTTACTTATGCTGAAGGGGTCGTTGTCGTATCAGGTACTACAGATATGTACCCGAGGTACGTATATGTATACACAAGTGTACCAGACCTGTATCTTCTCAGCATATATGTCACCTGTGTTTACATAAACGTACCTGCCCCTGAGATGGAGATCGAAATGAAGACGGGCATGACGAGGAGTAGGGGGCAGAGAGCGAGGAGAGGAGGAGAGGAGGAGGAGAGGAGGAGGAGAGGAGGGAAGAAGCGGATGGAGGAGGAAGAGGGGAGGAGGAGGAGGAGGAGGAGGAGGGAGGAGGCGAGGAGGAGAGCGGAGAAGGTGATAAATGAGCAAGAGGTGAGAAGGGGATCCTAACCCCTATTTCCTTTTCCATCACCTTCGCCCTTCCTCCTCTCCTTCTCATCTCTCGATTGACAGAATTGAGTTTTGTGTTCACAAAATTGAGTTTTGTGAGACAGAATTGAGTTTTGTTAGACAAAATTGAGCCCTGTCCTGCATGGCGCCCCGTATATATACTGTGCTTTATAAGACTTTTCAGTTTAGTTTCAGGTAGGGCACGCTAAATTGTTTTCAATTCATGAATTACTCGCACGCGTTCTTATAAATCTGTCACAGCTCTACATGGACCATCAACTTTCGCTTGCGGAATGTTCCGTAATCAATCTAAGAATATGAATCAATCTAAGAATATGAATAATCATTCACATCGGTCGGCGAGAATGGTTCGCATTTTCGGGACGTCTATGACTCATGGCTGCGTCATTTTTGTTCATAGGGAGTTGCAAACTCTGCCATAATAGCAGCAATACACGCGCCTGTAGGAAGATCGAGTCACGCTGCCCTCTGCTATTTGAATGGAGTGCTGCTTCCGATTCAGGGTTGTATTGTCTACCCGAACAGCAACGCTCTCTGTTACCTAAATGGCGTATATCTGCCGCTGCAGCGTTGCACTGGCTACTACCAGCCGTCCTACTACTACCCAACTTAGTAAGTCGCCAGATGAAACGTACGCACTCTCTTGGTTTTTATTGCGGGTTATTTGCGTCGTAGATGTCGGCTAAACTCACAATGTTTACTAATTATTATTTCACACTGTGTATCTCTCATATCATGTAGATCTCATTTACAACTCCTTGTAGGTTACACCTATCAGACAATCTTATTATATAGTTGCCATTAAAAGACTATAGTAGAGAGAACTATTGAAAAGGTTAAAGTCATATTTCTATATTTGTTGTGCATGTTGTGTATTTCCCTACAGTTACACATATGGTACATATAGACCCTCCTATCGAGGATATCAAAGAAGACGCCAAGGATATGAGAAACGCCTCAATCGTCGACGGACGAGACGGCATCGCAACAGACGTCGTAGAGGTCGCCGCAGCTAATGCTGATCACGGATAGCCTTCTGATAATTATTATTATAAATTGCAAATAATAGATGTTGGTAAAGATTGATTCAGGATATTGCTAATTCTATGATTAGGCTTTCACTAAACAAGTAAAAGGCCAAGACATACTGCAGCGAAAACGGCCAACCGGTACGTTCGATGATACCTACTTGTGAAAGTCTGAAACCATTATTTGCAATAAACTGTCGCAACTCATGCGACAACGTCTGGCAATAACAGTGGCGAATAAAATGCCTAGCATCATATGTTATTTTCAATTAGGGCCTACATAGATACGTGACACTCAGGTGTCACTAATCCCAACTTCTGATAATGTGTTCACCGTCATATTAATGAGATGTATATATGTATGTGTGTATATTGCGTAGTAAAAACTATGCAGACATTGACCTAAAGCATTGACCTAAACAGTGTCAGCGTGAAATGGTAGCTGTTGGTTTTGCAAATAGTATACTTAAAAGCAATTAATAACATCACATGTGTTAATACTACTATTATATTTCACGGTTATCTAGCTCAGACTACTTTGCAACATGGTCTCGCAGTAAAGACTGTTGATTCTGTGATACTGTGATGGACTGCAATTATTATTCATAATATTGATTCATTTTTCACATTTATTAAGCACACATAATTATTATGAATGATGTGACAAAGGGTGTTATTGAGTAAAACACTTTTGATATATAATATTAATAAATATTATTATGCTTGATTACTATGACTATTAGTACAAGATGATACCCTGATAAGCATGTAACAAAGATTTTACATTCTATTATGTCATAAGAATATTCATACAATTTTGCGGTTGCGACTTACCTACACCAGACGACCGCACGGCGAAAAGTTTTTCTCGCCAATGATCGCCAAATTGTTTCTGTATGGCAGACAACAACTCGCTCCTCACGCTTGTGCACAGTCTAGCACCCATGAATTTCGTCCTTATACTATAAAAGCAGTAAGCATACTAAATACAACATGGCAAAGCAACAGTAGGAGAGCCATGTAAATGACATATAATCACATAAATATAACACATATAATCCGAGGATGGACGTAAGCTACAGTACCCTAGTACATTTTAGCATAGCACACACAAGAAAGGCTGTAATTTTTCATCCTTTAAATTGATAAATAATCGCAATATCACAGCTATTGTTTAATTTGTAAATGTTTCTAGTTTACTGGTAATCAAAGAGAAATATCTGTGTCGACAGCTGCCGTAGAGTTATCCGTTATCGAAACTAGAACACATTCTCAAAGAAACCCGTAAACCGGCGACTGGAGACTAAATAGTATTTCATTTAATTTATCTATTTAACCTTGTGTGTTACAGCTCTTTTATTTCGTTTTCTTTGCTGAAAAAAAGAAAACAGGTCTGATCAATTTATATACACACTCAGCACAGGCGTCGCGGCACGCGCACACACGTGCGTGGCGTGTGAAACGTGCGTATATATGGGGCGCTCGTTGTTCAGAAACAAAATTAGCATTAACATTACATTAGCAGTTAACTTTACGATGTCTCTGACACAGGCCCCCAATGATGTATTATAATATATTATATATTATATATATATGACACAATCCAGTCTTTCTTGAAATCAACTACGATATGTGAAAAACTTGCGTAATAGTTAATGGCAAAAAGCTACGTACCAAAGTTCCCTCCCGCAACGAACTGAATGTCCTTCGACGGATGTCCTTATTGGCCGTCAGCCAGAACGTCGATAACATGACGCGTCACGCCAGATGGCATCAGGCACTTCAATAACTCTGTGGCCGAGGCCAAAACACATTTTTTTCATATTTAGGCGAACTTATAGGTGAACTCAAAAGCATAATGATTCGTTGGGAAATTTAGCTGGTAAGTCATTATAATCGTCATCATAGTTTTATTTGAAAAATTATATAGTTTGTCGTCACGCGATTATGAGAAACTACGCATATGATATTAATTTCAAAAAAACGAAAAAGTATGATAAAAACTAATTGGCGGAGGACGCCGGAAGGTACTGTTGCAGTAGGAGTGTAGCAACTGTAGCTGGTGCTGGTTATATCCGGTGGAGCATCAATAGCAGTAGGCGCATTATTAGTCGAGCCAACAGAAATAGTAAATTCGCAGTAGCGGAGAGAGCAGCAGTAGCGAGCAGTAGTAGCAGTAGCAGTTGCGTCGCAGTCGCAGTAGGCAGTAGCAGTAGCCAGTAAGGCGTAGCAGTATCAGTAGCAGTAGCGGTAGTAGTAGAGGTAGGCAATGCGTAGCAATAGCGGTAGCGGTAGCATGCAGTTATAGTCGTAAGCAAGAGCGGCATGGCAGTAGCAGCGTAGCAGGAAAAAAACAAAACAGTGCAGTAACAGTTGCAGTCGCAGTACGCAGTGACGTAGCAGTAGCAGTGTATCAGTAGCGTACAGTAGCGGTAGCAGTAGCGGTAGCAGTAGCGTAGTAAGTAGAGGTAGCAATAGCGGTAGCGGTAGCAGTAGCGTAGCAGTAGCAGTACAGTAGCAGTAAGCGTAGCAGTAGGCAGTAGCAGTAGCAGTAGCAGTAAGCAGCTAGCAGTAAGCCAGTAGGCAGTAGGCGTAAGCAGTAGCAGTCAAGTGGTAGTAGTAGCGTGCAATAGCTGTAGCAGAGCGTAGCAGTAGCAGTAGCAGTCAGCAGTACGAGGTAGCAATAGCGTAGCAATAGCGTAGCAGTAGCAGTAGCAGATAGCGGTAGTAGTAGAGGTAGCAGAGCAGTAGCAGTAGCAGTAGCAGTAGCAGTAGCAGTTAGCAGTAGCAATAGCAGTAAGCAGTAGCAGTAGCAGTAGCGGTAAGTATAGCGTAGTCAATAGCGGTTAGCCAGTAGCACGAGTAAGCGGGTAGCCGTAGCGGTAGCTGTACGTATTGCACCACTATTCACTCTGGTATTTTTTACCCATATTCGCTGGGTTTCGTTTGCTCAGGAACAGATAGTAGTTGAGGTTCGCAAGCCCTTTTCCACCTATAAGTGTTGAAGGCCAACATCTTTCTTTAGCTGCTACCGACGATGAGCCTCGGAACATGATCTAGATCGGTATAAATAACTCAGTATAAGGCTCACGATAACTAACGTAGTGACTGGTGTACTACGTGTATTGGCATATTGGGCTCAGTCACTTTAAACACATGGGCATGCATCATCCTCATGTGTCGTCCCGTCGTCGTCGCTCGACGTCAGTCACATTATCATCGTCAATATCATCCATCATCATCATCATCCTTATCATAATCAACACCGCACAACTACCTGGTAACTCTTAAATCTAAATCTTAACTCCTGCTCTACTTTAATGACTGCTAATCCTATCCATATTATTACCATAAGCCTTCACCTAACGCTAAACCCGATCATCACGACTGGCGATTATTCCCTCTGAGTACGTTACATATACATTATTAAAGACATTGCAATAGTAGTTAGCATGGCGATGGCATCGTGATCTGGGCGAAAGATCACGCAGTCCTCGTTATACTATAAAATAGGGAAATCGAGCAACCTTTGAAACCGGAACTCTGTAAAGTGTGGCACTGATCTGCCTCGTGTGAAAGGGGGCTTTGCCATCGTGCCTAAAATTAAACACAACGATCATACGCTTTACCAGACCGTCCTCCACACATTACAACAAGTCAGGTATGTATGTATGAGGTTGTAATTATTCGTAGTCATTTAGCATTGCCTTGTGTGTAGTTTAGAACTCACGTGTAAAGGTAATTCTATACACCAATTCCTGGTGCGCCATTCATGTCAAATGAGCTGTTCCATATTTTTAACTGTTCCATTCTTTATCGGGAAGATCTGCTGATCCAGTGTGCACTTAACGGTTACTGAGCGAGTACACACCATCGTGAACAGCATAGAAAGTCAATAATTATACCATTCTGAAAGCCTGCTGTAATGTCCACTAAACACGATTATGAGTAGCCGAAATCGGTCACGATTATATAGAATGGACTGTTATTAGATACCTAATACTCTTTCTATAATCTAAATTAAATTTACTTTGGTTACAAACTATATAGACATATAACTCGCAACATTTAACTGTCCTACAAACATTTATACAGTGCGATCCATTACACTGTTTCTGTTAAATTAGAGTTGAAGTTTTAGATTAACCCCATACATCCGCGCGAAATCAATTATCGCAATTGTAGCGACTTACTCTGTGATCGTATCCCACCTGCTGCCATTAAACGAGAAGAGAATTGTCGTGGTTGGGTGTCCGTCTTCACCGGATGCGGCGACAAATGGAGAATTGACGCTGGGCAAGTTATTTTGATTCGGTTGACACTCGGAATATGACGTACCCACCAGGCAGGCCTGTAAATATGGCGTAAAATATTATGTGTAATATTATGTGTTAGTGTGTTTACACATAACATGATAATATTTACATTCACGTTACAACGGTTACAGCGTTACACACGTTACAACACGTAACACACTTAAACACACTTAACACACCATAACACACATACAACATAACACACTTAACACACTTAACACACTTAACACTTAAGCACAGTTTTGTGTTTTTCTTAACACACTTAACACATCATAACACACATAACACTAACACACATAACACACTTAACACACTTAGCACACTTAGCACACTAAACCACTAACAGCACATAACACATCTTAACACACATAACACACATACACACATAACACACATAACACACATAAGACACATAACACACGATAACACACATAACACACATAACACGACATAACAACACTTAACACACTAACACACTTAACACACTTACACACATAACACACAATAACACCATAACACACTTAACAACACTACTACACTTAACACACATAACCACATAACACACATAACACCATAACAAGTCATAACACACATAACACACATAACACACATAACACACACTAGCCACGACATAAGGCACGCATAGCACGCATAAGCACGCAAAACACGCATAACACGCATAACACGCATAACACGCATAACACGCATAACACACATAACACACATAACACACATTACACACATTACACACATAACACACATAACACACATAACACACATAACACACATAACACACCATAAACATACATAGCACATAACACCACCTTACACACATTACACACATTCACAACACATTACACACATTCTAACAGCATAACACACCATAACAACACTTACACACATTAACACACAATTAACACACATTACACCACATTACACACATAACACACATAACACACATAAACACAATAAAACACAACATAACACACATAACACACTATAACACAGCCATACACCATACCACATTACACACATTAACAGCACATTCAACGGGCGTCGAGCACATTACACACATAAACCAAACACCACACACACATTAACCACATTACAACACATAACACAACATAACACACATAACACACATTACACACATAACACACATTACACACATAACACACATTACACACATAACACACATAACACACCATTAACACACATTACAAACACAGTTACACACAAAAAAATTTTTTTTACAAAACATTACACATATTACACACATTACACACATTACACATAAATAAACATTACACATTACACATCATGCAATACACATTACACGTTATGCATTACACACTATACATCACACAATTACAGAGAAACGCAACGGTTAACGTTGGTTAATATTAACATCGTGTGAGGCAATGCTTATAGGCCTCGTTTCTGGTAAAAACGTGGGCGCGTAATATCAGCTTTTTTTATGTGTACTGGTGTAGTAATGCTCCCAAGTAAATGTGTGGCCAACGAAGCAGAATTTTTACATAGCTTTAAAACCCATAACTGCACTCAACAGCTAGTTATATGAAAGTTGATAACTCTCTTGATTAATACGTCTTTGATATTATGATCTAATGAGTACGTAAATACAGTGATTACGTCACGCGACAAAATATAAACTACATTAGGCAAGCTATCGCTGTGTTATATATATTGTAATATAGCAGTTGTGCGATAAATTTATAAATAGAGCTCACAATTATTACTTAGCTAGTTAATATCAATAGAGGTATTATTAGCTCTTAAATACATTGTACCTACTGGGTAACGGAATTTTGGTACACTCATTACACCAATCATGAAGGGTCGTTCCATCCTATATGCGTGTAAAATAAACATTGTAAACTAATTACGAACTATTTATAAATGCGTTAACAATAACTATGCGTTTTACTTCTACAAACGAAGAAAGGAGCAGGAAAATATATCAATTTTACAATTTAGTAGAAGCGCTGCGTCCGTACTATTGTGTTGAATAATGTTAGCCGTTTTTTAATCGCAGATATAACAATTATTGGCAATGCGTATATGTGGCCGCCGTTTTTGGCATGCTTAAAATATATATAGCCTAAACATGAAATATCGCGTTTTATAGCAATGTTTTTGCATTATAAGAATTAAAGATTCCAAGGTACGTGATATCTTAACGATATGACCATTGCGCGTGGGGATCTGCCATATCGGTCGAATCGCATTGTCGTGTACAACACGGCGATATTAACATTACCTCCATGTAGCCGTATATGCGAAGGCATCGGTAGAAGAACGCCCAGTCGCGTATACCCAACGTACGGTCCCTCACGCCACGTAGGATCAGCCTAGTCTCGGCTTCATCCCCCACCGTAAGCCAACAATCATCGACCCCACTGCTCGTAGTGTTTGCTCTTACTGTTCATTGCAGAGCGAAGGAGAGAGAGTAGA